AAAAACGACGGAAATTAAGAAACAAAAAGTCGTTTTCCACGAATGTCAGTTACCATTCTGATGCCACAAAATTTCAGTTCACTACTCACCTGGCATAGAGGGTATAAAACCAAAACTAGTTGTCGGCACAGGCATTTGCATTACTGGTACGGGTGATTGCGAAAGGGTTTGCGCCGATGACGAACTCGCATCATTCAACGGATTGAAGTATCGCGATCCTTCAATATCGCACAAAATGAAAACCAATTAAAACAAAAGGAGCAAAAAATTAAAAACAAAACAAAACAACAAACGAATCACAATCAGAAGAAACTAAATGCAAATTCAGTCAAAAACAACAATGACTGAATATAGCGATCGAAGCAGCAAAAACAAATCAACAAACACCAACAAAATATTGACAAATATCTCATGTAATGCTCTGAAACAATACCCAACAAAATCTCAAACAAAAATCTCAATCAAACAATTGCAAAAACAATCAATTCACCTCCACTAACTCGTGCAGCTCGCAGTCCACCGCTGGATCCGTGCGTCGACATTGATTCGAATAAGCCCGAATTGGCCGTAGACGGTGGTGGTGTATTGATAGGTTCCTCTTCAACCCCGGCACCAACATATTTGTTCAAGACTGGATCCCATACGATCTAAAACCCATCAGCACTTCAAATTATCACACCAAAATACTCTACATATCAATTGTCTACCTGCTTCACCCAAGTACTCTTCACAATTACATCATATGCAAACAAAAATACCAACAGAAATACATCACTGAAGAGAATTAATATCAAACGAATCTCAATCAAAAGACAACAATATCCGAATAATTCTAAAACAGACCACCTCCATGAACAACCCTCCTATTCAAACTCTTCAAACCGCCCTATCGATTCAATTTTAATCCTTCTCTCAATCTCAATTTCATATTCTCCTCAAAAAATAAAAGAAAACATAAAAAAACTCAAATCAACACCAATAAAACAAAATACCGATGGGTTCTTATCATCCGGCAAAATCATCTCGTGTCCGGTTGGGATTGCTTTCACAATCTTTGCTTTCAAAATACTGAATATACCTCCACCACTACTTTGATGATTTTGTTGGTGTGCTCCGTTTGCTCCTCCAGCATTTGCCGCAGCAGAAGAGTTCATTTGCCCGCTACGGACATCATTTTCGCTCGACGACGATGCCTGTGCCTGGCCCATCTGCGGCATTTGGGGTGCATTTACCGATGGCGGCTGCGGGGGCATTCTAGCTGCAGATGGAGCTGTTTGTGGCTGCTTTGAGACAACTGCAGACATTGGCACTGAAATCGTGCAAGGCA